ACGATGAAACCAGTTCGAGAAGAAAAAACAGAATCACCACTGTTAAACCTTCACCACCTGCCTAAGGAAGAGCAACAAAAAATTCGACATGTGGTAAGTGAATTTGCTTCGTTATTTAGTGATATTCCAGGATTTACTCAAGTTAATAACCATAGTATCGACACCGGAGATTCACTGCCAGTTCGCCACAAACCATACCGATATGATAAGAATAAAGAAAAAATTATAGAGTGGCACATTAGAGATATGTTACGTAAAAAGATCATAACGCCCATCTCAAGTAATTATGCTAGCCCGGTTGTGTTATGTAAGAAAAACAATGACTATCCGGTAACACATTCAAAAAGGTGGCGTTTTGCAATTGACTATCGTAAATTAAACTCCATGACTAAATATCCGGTATATCCGTTACCTATTATAGAAGAAATTCTAAGAAACATAACTTCTATAAAATACATAACTACTTTAGAATTAACGACTGGTTATTTTCAAATAGGGGTTAGACCGGAAGATGTGCCTAAGACTGCTTTCATAACCAAGTCTGGCACTTATGCATTCCTTGCGTATGCCGTTTGGCCTTTCAGGGGCACCGGCAACATTTCAGCGATGTATGGACATTGTGCTTAAGGCCTGTTCTTGGAAAGTCCACATTTATCTATTTAGACGATATCATTATTACTAGTGATAATCTGGACCAACATGTACAGGATTTTAAGACAGGTGTTTTCTTTTATTAAATGAGGCCGGTCTAAAAGTTAATGTCGAAAGTGCAAATTTGCAGACCCCTAAATTAAAATACCTTAGGTTACAAAATATCTCAGAAAGGGATCGAGACAGACGAATCAAAAATAATCGCTGTGCAAAAGTATCCGCCGCCAAATACGGCGAAGAAGCTCTCTTCTTTTCTAGGACTTTGTTCATATTATAGGTCCTTTATAAAAGATTTTGCAGCTATTGCTGAACCATTGTTAAAATTAAAAAGGAAAAAGGAAAGATTCTCGTGGACGGCCGAAGCCAATAATGCTTTCGAAAAATTAAAGCAAGCATTAACGCCCCTGTTTTGAAATTTCCTGAAAATGATGAGAATTTAGAAATTTCAGCGGATGCTTCTATGCGGTAGGAGCGGTACTTTCGCAAAATAAGCAGCCCGTGGCATTTTTTAGTCGAACTTTAAATCAAACACAAAGAAATTATTCCGCGACTGAGAGAGAGGGCACTTGCAGTTCTGTTAGCAGTGCAAAAGTTCCGAGTATATTTGGAAGAGCGCCAATAACAGTGTATTCTGATCATGCGGCGGTAACTAGATTGTACTCAGGGAAAAACTTATCCCCAAGGTTAATAAGATGGGCACTCAAGTTACAAGAGTATAATCTGGTAATCAAGCACACCTCCAGAAAGGAAAATATCGTAGCAGATGCCCTATCCAGAATAAAAATAGATGAAGAAGGTAATACTGTAAAGGTGGCAATGCTCACAGCATGTACGATAAATTCCCGAGAAACTGTAATAACCGAACTGGGTAAGGATCCTGAATTTAAAACATTTATGAGTATTTAAAGGATCCTGAAAATTTTAGCCACCAAGATATTGTGGCGATAAGAAATAGGGCGGCCCATTACAAACTAATAGATGGTCTATTATTTTATACAAAAACTACGAATTCCAATAACGAATTTCGACCTGTTATCCCAGCTAGTCTTAGATTAAATATCCTGCAGGAGTTACACGACTGCCCTTTAGCTTCACATGCTGGTATTCGAAAAACTATCCAACGCGTACGCGAAGCAGTTTTTTTTCCTGAACTGCAAAAGTTAACAAGGGCGTATGTCCAGTCCTGCCCAACATGTCAAGCAGTTAATTATATTAATTTACGCCCGGCTGGGTTTCTAAATAGCATTAAATCCGAATTTCTAAATGAAATAATTGGCATCGATTTATTGGGCCCTTTCCCAAAAAGTCAGTTAAATAAAAGTCGCTATCTCCTTGTTATGGTTGATCATTTTAGTAAGTGGACCGAAATTGTTCCCTTAAACGAGCCTCCGCGAAATTAGTTACTGATTCTATTTTAAATAAATATATTTTAAAATACGGGGCGCCCCTAAAAGTTATATCGGATAATGGTCCTCAATTTGTAAGTAATATATTTGAAGACATGTGCCAAAAACTGGGCATACGTCATTTAAAAATGGTCCCGTATCGCCGCAATAAAATATTGCGGAAAGGGTCAATAGAAATATAGTGAAAATAATCCGTAGTTATGTTAAAAATTTTCATAAAAGCTGGGATAACTATGTCAATGAATTAGCTTTCGCCCTTAGGACCGCAAAACATGATACAACGGGCAAAACTCCTGCTGAGTTATTTTTAGGCAGAAAGATTATAACGCCGTTAGATAAGTTATTTTATGTTCAACAAAGAGCCCCAGAATTTAAAATGGGCGATATAGAAAAATTAATTAAAGAAGCAAAAAAGAACACTGAAATAGCACAGAGAAAACAGAAGCTTTATTATGATTTGAAACGTCGGGGAGTAACTTATAAAGTAGGAGATGAAGTGTTAAAAATTAAGCATTCACTTTCTTCAGCACCAGAAGATAAAACTGCCAAATTTTTTCCACGATTTGAAGGACCATATGTCATATAAAAAATAACTCATGCTGTAGCGATGTTAAAAGCCAGGAATAGTGAAACATGCTCCGCAAACTTTGACCAGATAAAACCATTCTATAATCGTAATAAAATGCAAATATTTAAAGATCTTTTGCAGGATCCGGCACGGCAGGCACTGCCGAATATCACAAAGATAAGTAAAACTTTATGTTACTTTGAAACCTTAAGTTAATCTTCATTTTACTGCAAGTGGCAGAATTCAAGACGTTTTACCTCATGTGAGGTCTACCTTTATCGCCAAAAAAGGCGAGAAATGAGTTGTTACCTATTTTGGTTATTATGTTTTTCAATTACTCGCGAGTAAAACTAAAATTAATGTATAATAGGAATGTGTAAATACTTGAATATTGTAAAAGTTATTGTATAAAATTTTATTTAAAAGATTTTGACAAGAAAGAAGTTTTTGTCTGAAAGACTTTTGAAATGTAGTATTTCAATGTAGAAGAATTGGCACTTGCTTGGAAAAGAATAGAAGTTAACAATGTACTACTAATGCATGTTTTAAAATGCGTAAAATTAACGGCATGTTAATATGTCCTTATATACAATGTGAACTGTTATTTTAAACGTTAGGAAATACTGTGATATGTTAAAAGTGTAAGTAATGCCAAAATTTTTAACTTATTCGTGTGACTGTAAAAAGAGCAAATTATTGTGAATATGTGTTAAGGTTGAATGAATGTAGTTAGGCTCTCTGACGCTACACTTCAGAGTTAGCCACTTTCAGAATAGTACCTCAGGGTTTAGAGATGAATATAAGGTGTGTTATGAGGTCTTGTTATGTTGAATTTTAACACGTTAGTGTTTTAATTGCAGGCGGTAGTGTTGAACACTTGTACATAAACACGTTCGTGTTTGGTGTTTTCCTTTACAACACATGTCAGAGAGCACGGGGAGATAATTAAATAACGTCATGAATGAAATAAGAATGTTAAGATAAATATAAGTATTTATGTTACTTGCCATTTAATTGTGCAACATTTCATTAAACTAGTTTTCCTTCCAGATCTCTGGAAGGAACCAGATTTCAACTAAGAACTCCTGTTTAGATGCAGTACAGATGAAAAGTAATTGTCCATGGAGTTGATAATGTAAAAAACGATTTTTTTTAAATTTCTAGTTTCTAGTGAGAAATGTTTGTAAAAGATTGGCCTCGCGTTAGATTCTAGAGCTAAAAGTTTTCAACAAGGTCGTTTTAGACCTCAGTTTCAAACTAATTAACTCTGGCGGGAAGTATGTAAGGATCTTAAGTTTTACTAACGTTTATTTTATTTTAAATCTTTACTATCCCTTCTTATTTTCTACTTCCGGCCAGAATTAAAAGCTTTAACTTGCAAAATTTGCAAATTTGTCTTGCGAACGCCAAGTACTTAAGTTGTAGCTTTTTGCCAAGCAAGAGAGAGGAAGGAGCTATTAGATGCAGGCCGCTTGCTATAGTAGTTTTACTCGGTTGCTGGTTGCCTTCAAGGCCAGAGGTTTAATCCTCTTGATAATTTTAAACGTATCGTAGTGTTAGCAGTTCTCTGTACTACATACGGCTTTTTGCTAATATACAGCCAATCTTGGAGTAGGCACTTGTTTGATTAATCCAATGTTAAGTTTAGTTAGAGTTTAGTTAATATTTTTATATTCTTACGTTCAGACCACAAGTGGTTGGTCTCTGTATTCCGAAGTCCGGAAATCATTGTAAAGAGAGAAAAATAAAGGGTTTCGTATACCCTTCCTGTGTGTATTGTCTACTTCCCAAATTTATTGAACATAGCTTTAGTAAGCTCCCTGTTCCGAGTCAGGACATTTAATGTTCCCAAAGCAAGTAAGGAGGAACACAGAACCTGATAAATGATTTATAAATCTTTTAATAACAATAAACATTTGGAGAACTTCTAAATTTCCTCGACTCTGATCAAGTGTTATGGAATGTTTTACAATACCATCTGCAACAATTTCTTTTTCTTTCGTTGCGAATTGAGCTCTATGAATCATTTAATACTCTTTAACATATTGTTGATCGCTTTAATACAGGCTTGAGTTCTCCTTGGCTGAATTTAGGTCTTCATTAGGGCCAAAATGGGCTTATAGAATGCTTTAGAGTTTGTTGTTGATTAAAAACAGAGCAAGTTGTAGCTCCTAAAAATGTTCAATTTAGAATTAAGCACATCAAGAATGCAACTGATATAAATTAAAGTGTTTATCGAATGGTCTGTTTAATATGATCATGTATTAACTTTAATGCCTTCTATAAATAAGCAGAATTCGAATGAAACTGGTGAGTTAAAGACTATATTCTTCCTTGTCAGTACAGAACAGAATTGCCCTATTAATAGTCCTTACCCTGGTTGGACATCTTCGATATTAATTTTCAGTCTCTGGGCTAATTCACTTCTCGTTTCGGCTTTAGGAGAAATAATCCCTACTTCTCGAGCAATGGCTACGGCAGTGATATCATGATCTCCGGTTAGAAGAATTACCTGAAAAGATTGTAATTGAATAAACTGATCTTCATTCACTCAGACTAGTGATATTTTTATCGCAGATACAGCTAATAAATATTCTTTACAAATTAAAGGAATTAAACATATTTACGTTTTTATAGATTCACAGCTGAAATTTTTGCATTCGATCGGTTATTACTATAGTATCGTAGAAAAGCTCAGATTTTATTTAATATAAATATATGATTATTATTAAAAGTAAATAAGAAGCTATTACGAAATGCATACAGTTAAGTAAAATACATTTTCAAAGAAATAAAAAGTAAATTTCCTTGGTAATCCCTCGTTCAGATTATAGACGATTTTGCAAATAATTCTGTATGGGTCAAAAGGTGAGCTTAAGAATGTGAACATAGAGAAATCATTTTAATCTGGGTTTTCAATTTTTAATAATATATAAGCTAGGAAGACTATGCTTTTTCATGCATGCAATTATTGGGATTAAATTTGCTAGCGCATAGATACTATATAAATGTCATATACATATAGAAATTTTGGTGAAGGCTGTATTCGAAATCTCTAAATAGGTAATTTGTTTTCAAGCCAAGAGTTTGAATGCTCCAAAGGGTTTCGATTGCAAAACGTATCTCAGAGCCGCCCAACCGCTATAGTGGTTAGCGTCACTCATTGCCATGCCAAAGGGCCCTTGGATGTTTGTAAATCTATAGTGCCCGTGCGGCATGGGGGCACTCTAAATATGTGATGAGCCGAAAGTCCTCGAGAGATGTTGATGGTAGAAGAAGAGGAGTGGAAGACCCTAGGACCGATTTCCCCACTCTCCATCAAAATTAGGGGCGGAACTGAGCTAAATCGCACTGTCACCTGTAAGATGATAAATGCTCTTGCCAACGATAGGTTTGTATCTTGCGCTCATTGCTACGAGGAATTTCGTGGGCTTGGGCTGACTATAGGTCGGACAAGTTAGCATTAGTCAACAATATATCTCAGTTCGGAAACTTATCTCAATATTTAGCATAAAAGTATTTTCTTCGTATATGAGCATTAAAAAATTAATTACAAAATTTTAAAAAATTCCAAATTAAAAAAAGTTTCCTCTCTAAATGTTCTAAGTGAAAAATCCTCGTTTTCTTAATTTGTATTACCGTTAAAGTAAAGACGCAGATAAATACCGCTATGAGTGCTATGCCTACTACTCTGTCACTATCATTGGGGTTCGTGTTCCATGCATACCCAAGCTTACAGATTGGATGGTTATACAAATATTTGTAGAGACAAGCATTACGTATGGAGTAAGGGTTATTATTTATTAATTAAATTAATAGTATACATCTCTATGAAGAAGTGTTATACAATATGAAGAAGGCATATTTACTTTAAAGGCGTTGTTAGATTGAGAAGCATTCATAGTTTATAAAATCAATGACTAATTTCATGCACATTGACTGAACATTGTTTCGTGTTTTGGTTGAGGCGTATTTTTGGTTTTAAAAATAATCTACAAGTTTATGACAGAAAGGAATCGAAAAAAGAGTTATTTAGTTATTAATAACAATAGCAATAACGATGCAGAAAACGTTTATGAAATTAAACAACATAAAAAATAGTGTCGTAGAGTCATTATGTTATTTTGAAGCAGGAGACGTGAAAAACGCTAAATGTCTTCGCCGGGACTGGAACCTGGACCTCTCGAATACTCGCCGACTGAGCTACTGTTGTAGTCATTAAGTATTTTTCTAAAGCCAGAGATATGGAAAATGAGCAATGCCCTCGCCGGGGCTCGAACCACGGACCTCTCGAATACGCGTCGAGGGTGCTGACCACTACACCACGAAGGCATGATAAGAAGGCGGGAGAAATAAATACCTTATACTGTTACATCACAAAGGTATGCTGGAAGGAGGGAGAAAATACCTTATACAGGTAACCCTCGTATAACGCTGTAGATAGGTTCCTAGAAAATGCCGTGTTGTGTGAAACCGTGTTGTATGAGACCTAGAGGGAGTATAAAAAGGGGAGTATGTTCCGAAAACTTATTAAAAACAAATCTTTTTAATTATATATAAAAAACTTAATTTTTATTAAAAATATATATGTATGTACAACACAAACCCAAAAAAATATTGCATATTTTAATTTAACGCAACTTCAGTTTAATAAATTTCTTCGTTGCCGTTGCTCAGTATAATCAACAGAGAACGTTTTTTCGATGGAGTGAGATCGCTTTCACTTTCAGAATTTCTTTTTTTTTCATTTAAAGTTCTGGCATTTTCTTCCCTTTTTAAAAAAAAAAAAATTAATTTTACTTTCCTTACTAGTTCTTATCGGGTCATTTTAAATTTCTCGATATAGAACTAGACAGTTTTGCAACTCCCTTTTGAATTTTCCGCTCATTTCAGCGGAAGGATCTGCACTCAAGAAAAATAACTCGAAATTTTCAGCCAAGCGTAGGACTTTTTTTAATTTTTTTAATGCTAAATTATTAACTTCACAATCTTCATCAGTAGTAGTATCCTCAGAATCGATTTGATTTACAGCTTCGAATGGCATTTCTATCGAATCTTCGTCAATTTCTTCTTCGCCTAATAATTGAAAGGCCTCAATATAGCCACGTTCACAAAACCTTGATTTAGAAAGTTCTAATATGACACCATTTCATTTTCTGACGATTCAAGCACGTTTTCTAGTTCAACTAAAGAGAGCCGTATCTTGGTAACATGCATTTAACGTTGATGCTTTCAGTTCTTTCAGTGAAAATGATACGATGTCGATTCAGATCTCGATGAAAATGTCTTTCAAGCTTCCATTACATTAATCGATTTTGAATCGGTTACTTCTAAAATATACTGTAATGCTCTTCTTATGTGATATGTTTTAAAGGTATAAATAATACCTTGATCCAATGGTTGGAGTAACGAAGTTAGTGCTAGATGGTAGGAACAGTATTTTGACATGGGGATGATTCAAATCTTGTGAGTGACATGGATCATTATGCAATAGTATTAAGCGCCTTGAAGCTCAAATTTTCTGCCTTAAATAACGTTCAGCGTCTGGCACAAAACAATTTAAAAGCCAATCTATCTTTAAATATATTCGCAGTTACTCAAGCTCTTGGATTTGCTTTCCAAGATTGTTTTGGTTGTTTTTAATAAACACTTTATGCATTTCAATCTTTAAATAATTCTGTTCCTATCTATTATTATCAGTCTCATTTCTGTCGCTACACATCTCGTAGATACACACCTCGAATCACTTTCATCTGAACGCCCCTCTTTGTCCAATGTAAACAAGATTGCAAGTTTTTCAAGTAATGGAGTAAATACAATTAAGGTTTTCAAAGTGATTGTTGTTTTGGGTTGTCTGGAGTGTCATTAAGTCTACAGGTTATTCAGTTTGAACTCTGATATTCCTTTATTTCTATATTTTTGATAGGAGCAAATAATGAAAGTAAACAAGGAATTAGCCTAAATTACAAAGACGTTTATGAATGAAAACTGTAACCCTTTATGTTGTTTGGCTCCAAATTCAAAGTTTTTCTGAAACTATTTTATTAGTTAAAGCGATAAAAGCTGCTTACTTAACATAATATTACAGAAATTATTTACAACAAAAATATCCCGAATTGTTTCCGCGCAAAATGCTGCTGAAATATTAATTAATTATAGACAAAAAAGTAATAAATTTAGAACCAAATCAACAAAGACATTAATTCATTCGTGATTTTTCATAAATCAATCATAGAGTTGCTTAAAAGTATACAATCTTATAATAAAACTACTGTTATAAATTACAATTAAACACGGAGATCCAAAGATGATGATGGATAATTGTGATCTGCATTTTAAACAACATTTAAGATTCATAGACAAAACTAAGTTTTATATTTTTTCTTCAATTACAGTGCAGAGATCCTCTTATAATGGCCACCCTTCAAATTGATCATTTTCGAAAATAATCAGTATGTATGATATTATAAATTAATATCTTCATTAAACATCACCACATCTGTATGAAACATCACTTTTCTAATGCCCAGGACTCATGACTGCTTCGTACAGAAGACTCAAATCTACTGGAGCTGCGAGAGGTCGATTTAGATAGGGTTCATTGAATTCAAAGTCATATTGCAGTATACAATGTTTCGCAGAATTCTGAGTGTCTAAGAGACATAAAGCGCATATTTCAGAGATGTTTTGCCATTTGATGCTTCGTTATTGCTTTATTTTTAACATGTTGTTTCGTACAACGATGGTTTCAAATTGCGAAATTCTGTCACTGCATTATTTTCTACGGAGAAGTTTTTACCACAATATTTTAGAACCGGAAATTTTTCTCTTGCTTTTAATTCCGACGATGTTTCTTGCTACAACTTTTCCTCCTTTGCGCTGTTTACTATATAGATCATGTTTCCCCAGTCACATCAGAACAAGCCCATGGAATTCATCGTGGCAAGGAGAGTAACACTGCGTTTGTCGTTGGCAAGAGCCCTTGAGCACCATACAGGTGTCAGTACGACTACCCTCAGTTTACCCCCCCCCCCCAATTATGATGGAGAGCACGTAGGGGAAATAGGTCCTAGGGTCTCCCACCTTTCTTCCTCTACATTTAGCTTCTCGAGAGGATTTTCGGCTCGACATATATTTAGAGCGCCCCCATGCTGCAAGGACACAATACATTTACAAACATCGATGCCTTCTCCGGGATTCGAACCCGGCTCCTCGGTACCGTAGTAGACTCCCCTAACCACTGCTCTATACCTGGGTTGGAAGCCAACTCAGCGGTTTACCTCCCCTAACCACTATACCCTCTGGGTGGCCTCCCCGTGCCTATTTCGCATTCATTGTTTTACTACCGAAAGCAAAAAAAAAAAAAAAAAAAAGTTTTAGTTTTTTAAATTACGTTCAAGGGGGCGTTTTTTTAACGTTTTGGGTGTTACCTTTATTTATTAAATATCATGTTCATTTCACTTAAAACATAAAATTCAGTTCAGTAGCAATGTCGCAAAATAATTTTAAAAT